CCCCCCCGTTTTTTATTTTATTTTTTTACCCTGCGCATGCGAGTCCTCTCCCCTTACGCCATGTTGTTGCGCATGCGCAGCAGAGCAGTGCCGTGATTTTAACGAGCTAAAACGAGCTAAAAGCTGCAGAACGGCGCGTGGAAATGTTTTAAAGCTGCACAAAAACAGCTTTTTCTTGGAGGCGTGCGCGCTACAGTGTTCGTGCGCAGTCTGGGCGGCGCTGAAGTGCGCGTTCAGGAAAGTCCCTGGCCTGCTGCCAGGAACTGATAAAGCTTCAGATGTGTCGAGCCACAACTGGTGGAAATAACCCGACAAAACTCCGCTGTTGCGAAACGCTGCGCTGCTCTTGTTCTCTGATCTGACTGAGCCCACTTCCTCTTCGGTGTAGTTTTTTCTTTTTTCTTCTTTAAGCTGTTTTGCCTAACCTATTCTCCCCCCCCTCTCACAGGCTGCTCCACTTGGCCATCATCCATGAATCCACTGAACATGCTCAACAGATGATCACGCTGTCTCACAGCCACTCCTTCCTCAACATCCAGAACCACCAAAGACAGGTGATTATCAACACCACACCTGAAGTTGTCATCAGGTCTCCTGTAAAGGTGCAGCAGAGGGTAATAAATGTCCTTCCTCCTCCAGACGGCTCTCCACCTGGCAGTGATCACCAACCAGCCCCAGCTGCTGGACCGACTCCTGAAGGCCGGTGCCGACCCGCTTCTTGTCGACAACAGCGGCAACACGCCCCTTCACATCGCCTGCAAACGGGGCTCCCTCGCCTGCTTTGGGGTCATCACCCAGAACTGCCAGCGCCGCCTCACCTCCATCCTGTCTGCCTACAACTACAGCGGTAAGTGTGGAGCCTGAGGACGAGCGCCGTGCATCTTTCATTTGAGCGTTCTCTGAAATCGGGTTTTTAACGCGACGTTGTTTTTTCTCTCCAGGACACAACTGTCTCCACTTGGCGTCCATCAACGGTTACATTTCTCTGGTGGAAAGTCTCGTTCGGCTGGGTGCAGACATCAACGCGCAGGTGGGTGTCCTGCACACGAAGGTCAAACCTTCTCATTCAAGGGGAACAAATGAACCCCTCCAGCCTCGAACAAGGACCTAAAAGTTTGTTTTTGTTTGTAGGAACCTTGCAGCGGGCGGACGGCTCTTCACCTGGCCGTCGATCACCAGAACCCCACGCTGGTCTGCTGCCTCCTCAAACTCGGCGCCGACGTCAACTGCCTGAACTACGGCGGCTTCACGCCGTACCACCTCACGTTCGGTCGCCACGACGACGAGATCCGCTCGCAGCTGTACGACAGGACGGCGCAGGAGCTGAGGGACATGCCCGACAGCGAGTCGGACGACAGCGACATGGAGGGCCTGTCGGAGGACGAGGTCAGTATCCGCTTCAGAACCGCAGGTTCCACTAAACGGACCTTCAGAGGACGCGTCTCTAACGTTTCGTCTTGTCTCCAGGTTTATGACGACATCAAGTTTGGAAAGTAAAGCAGCGGCGTCTCTCGCTGGTATCGAGCTGCTACTGGGTTCGCCGAGGCACGGCATTCACCCAAACGGGGACGGAGCAGGCCCCCCCCCATTCATCATGCAGAACCACAGGTGTCGGCCGGGGATTTCAGACTGGAATGAACTGTCTGTTCTGGCCACGTGCGCTCCAGACTGTTGCAGTCAAAGATGGCAGGACCTCCATACGGCTGCTGTCTGTGTATACATGTACATAATGTATTTAGCAGACGTGTATTATACTGTAAATACAGAGATATTATTTTTGTACTTGGTGTGAATTTAAACACTATTACCATACGTTTGAAAATAAAACCAGATTTATGAACATGAACTGCTTCAGCTGCTGTTTCTCAACTGAATTTCCCTTCGTATAAACCGAACTGTTCACGGCCTGAGCTGCGAGCGTCTCGGCTTCACGAGGCTCCAGTCATCTCTTGTGAAAACACTCGGCCCCTCTTGGAACAGAACGGGATTTCCTTTGCTGGGCGAGGTCAGCAGGTCTGAGTCACGGCGCTGAAAGTCCCTGAGTGGCAGGAGGAACACTGTGTGCTCCGAGCGCTGGATGGAGGAAATGTTCGTTGTACTGTGAGTGGGGGGGGGGGAGAATCCAACTGCTGAATCACCAGGAAACATCACTGGGAAGTACAAGACTTGAAACCAGGAATCTTTCCAGAGTTAACCGTAAGAAGCACGGTCTCCCTGGAGGAAGCAGACCTGCTTCAGGTTTCATTTAGGATGAGAGCACGTCCGGTGAATTTCTTTGATTTCACAAGAACACAAAAAGTCCATAAGTCTGAAAGTTTTAGATGACTGATGACACGGCTGCATCACTTCTGATCATTCTATGACAAAGAAGCTGAACTCATGTTGGCTGACGCCCCCTCCCCCATCACAACCCAGAGCCGTGTCAGCTTTGTTCAAACCACTCGGAGCTGTGAGGATGAACTTTCCCTCGCAAACAGAAACTTTGTGTGGTTTGTTTCCGGTTTTCTATTTCTGACATCCTTGGTGTAGAAAAACGAGGTCAAATCGGCGTGTAGTCAGATTTCCTCCTCGCTGAAAGCCATGTCATGTGATCAGACGACAGGAAGCTGGAGGGGGAGGTCTGCACACGCTCGGGTCCTATAACCAGCTGCTGCAACAGACATCGGCTTACAACGTTTGAGTTAAAAACTGCAAACAAAAGGCTGATTTTACTCCAAAAACTTTATTGTTGAATGAAACTGGGGGAGGGTAAATGTACAGCAAACAAAGAACGCCAGCCTCAGTCTGGAAACTCCATATCCCATCATGCTCTTGAGTCAACCTTAGAACAGGTGGCAGGGCTCGCTCAGTCCCGCTCTGCCAGGGCCATGAGGTGGGTGTCCACTTCAGCCTCTGTCAGGATCCTGCAATCCAAACAGAGAAATGACATCATTCTGATGGTCCTAATCTGATTTAATCCCAACAAATCGCTTTTTGAACCTGGACGTTCAAGACGTTTGTGACCAAACATTAAGAACCAGCACAGATAAAGTTCTGACCGTGACTGCAATCAAACATGTGGCTCCTTACTTTGCTTGAATAAATGATTAAACTCTTCAACAGGTGAAAAATCATTCATCGCCTGCACCCATGACATGTCATTTGCCTGTTATGTCTGTATGTTAGCAAAATATCTCGTGAACCACTGAATGGATCATGTAGCGACTCTCGGGCGATGTGCATGATTTCAGAGAATGATTCTCATTTAATCAGTTTGCAGATGTTTGTCCTCCGCTCAGCATTTATTTGAGCTAATCTGAAAGAGCAATGCTAACAGCAACAGTGTTTCCCCTCCCTACCTTTATCCAAGGAGGGCGCCCCACCCTGCCTACTGAACTGCCCCCCCAGTCAACAACTGACAGAACTGCCGCAGCACTAAGCTAGCGGCACGCAATATAGACGCATTAGCTAAAAAGCTACAGAGGTAGTGCCGTTTCCCTCACGT